TTCTTATATGTGAATAAAGACCAATCCTATAGTTTTAAGAAGTGAAAAGATGGTCATAATCATCCACACTCCAGCTGCAACATGACAACTGAGTGAGTTATTCCACCGTACCTGGTTCTGACGGACTGAGACTAAGTCTGATGATAGAAATTAGTCATAGGACTCAGGTGAATACACTTCTGTCTTGATAGCAACGGAGGGGCAAGCGCCCTGGCTCCTGAAAGCAAAATTTAGAAAAACGGGAATTCCCAATGAGTAAGAATATTCCTATGATAAAATGCTATAAAAGCCAAAACAGCAACCAAAGAGCTTACGGAAGAGATAAATAGAGTATACTGAAACAAAAGGACAGCTCAAAGTGGTTCTCACAGCTAGAATGGCTGGATAAAAAGACAAGATTGCTCACCCTGTCCTTCTTACAAAAATCCGCCATTTTACCACCAACTCAGGTGCGCGTTAATTAGAAAAATTTCATTGAATAAGGTCCATTCCGAGCACAATTCACAAAAATGCATGTAGGCCGAACTAACCACACCCATCACACCACACCTTCTAATGTTTGATTATAACAAAAATGACTGAAGTTAGAAAAAAGTTGAAATTAAATGTAAGTCGTTAATTTTTACAATTTCTTTTCATCATCAGAAGCAGCATGAGGAGGAGGAGCAGTATCATCTTGCTTAGTTTCAACAACTAAAAACAAAGAGAGAGGGAGAGAGAACATGTAAGAATAATGAATCATAACTCACTTGGTGCTTTTGGGTTCTCATTGTGATTAGCTCCTCCTACAGGAACATCATGAGGCACATCCTGTGGAGGAACATGCTCGGGCAGTCCTTTCTCACCTTTTGGTGACCCATGATCACTAGGTAATCCATGATCATTAGGTAACCTATGATCATAAGGAGGTAACCCGTGATCATTAGGTAACCCGTGATCATTAGGAGGTAATCCATGATCATTAGGTAATCCAGTATCAGGTTTTGTATCATGTGCTGCAGGTACTTCATGATGTTCAGTGGGTACTTCCTGGTGCTCAGGAGGTACTTCATGATGTTCAGTGGGTACTTCGTGGTGTTCAGGGGGTACTCCGTCATGGTTTTCCATTTTTGGTTTATGAATGAGGTTACCTTCGTCGTCATAATCATAATCATCTTCTTCCATTTCGTTTTCATACTGTTTGAATTCCTAAAATCATAAAACAAAAAATATATATAGTAGGTCTCTTAAAATTTTGTGAATCATTGTAATAATTTTTGTACAAGAAAAAAATTTTGAAAAGCAAATTTGCAAAAACTAAAGCTGTGCTATAAATAGAATAACGACATTACATCATCAGTAAACTCCTTGTGCTCATCATCCTCCCCAACTGGCTTCCATTCTTCCTTTATATTGAACAGATCAGTGTTAGCGTATCTCACAAACTCTTCTAACGTGATCAAGGAATCATGATCTCGATCAACCTGATATTGATTTGATATATCAGTGATATTGATTGATTGATTCATGTACTTCACTCATAACGTGTTCTCTCATTCTTGACATATCTTCGTGAGCTTCTCTGTCATTTTCAAAATCCTTACCATAATACTTCCTTATCTGAGGGAGAGAGAGAAAGGGGAAAAGAAATGAGGGAGAATGATGAGTAAATATGCATATTAATTATAAATATTTTGTTTTACTTCATTGACAAAAAGTGCTTCAACTTCACGAATGTCTAAAGTCCCATCTCCATTTGTATCTGATAATAACAATAATAATACATACAATTGTGCAACAAATGAAGTGAGAAAAACCAAGTACAAGGTTTAGTTGTACATGTACTTTATAAGCGTGCAATTACCGTGAAGGTGAAAGAATGTCCTAATGTCGAACTTTTCATCTTTAAATCCATCATCAGTCTTCCATACCTCCTCAAACTGATCTTTACTTGCTGGATGGAGCAATGGCTCATGAACCTTTCTCTCGTCTGATAGCTTCTTTAATCTAAAAAGAAACAAATAAATATAAATATATTTTCATCTTTTCTTTCGTCTAACCTTGCTTCTTCTCTGAGTCTTTGAGTTTCGTCCATTTCCTTTAATTTCTGTCTTCTTCTGTGCTCGAGTTTCATTTCAAAATTTTTGAAATCTTCACGACGAGCGTGATCTAACTGCTCCTGAATCCTTTGATGCTATTGATATAATATTAGTATTCATTATTACCATTATTATTATTATTAGTATTATCATAAGAATAACAGGAAGAGAATGACCAAATAAAATGTGTCAAATTACATTATTTATTTTATTATACAATAAGATGTACACATGGCTTTTGGAGCAACTTTAAAAATTCGTAAAAAATCCAAACTCAATCGGAATCAGCTCAAACTTTCTACACAACATAAGAAAATGTATATGTATCAGAAAATGTAATAAAAGTTGAGAATTCTCTCCTAGTCATTTTTGGTAAAATTTGGCTGATGACCCTGTACTATAGTACAGGGACTTTGGCCCAATTTCGGAGCAAATTAAAAAATTCGTAAAAAATCCAAACTTGATCGGAATCGGCTCAAACTTTCTACACAACATAAGAACATGTATATGTATCAGAAAATATTATAAAAATGGAGAATTCTCTCCTAGTCATTTTTTGCAAATTTTGGTCAATGACCCTGTACTATTATAGTACAGGGTCATTTGGCCTAATTTTAGGGCAACTTTAAAAATTTATAAAAAAATCTAATTTTGACCAAAATTCTATGGAAAACCCTGCAGTGTTTTCCATTCGTAATCCCTGCAGTGTCAAAGGTCTGAAGTTGCTATCTTCTGTACCTCTCTGATCTTCTCTTCCATTTCTTTATCTGACAAGTGTCTCCCTCTCTCTCTCTGTCTCCTAATCTCAATGGGCTCATGGGATTCTCCTGCCATTTTTTGCCTGCAGAATAATAATAATAATAATAAATCAATCATACACTTAATGTTACGACAGTACCTGTGAAGATCTCTCAACTCTTCAATGTTCCTCCTCTGCAGTTCCTCCATTTGAGACCGGATTCCTCCGTCACGGTGAGAGAGTCTGTCTCCGAGACCAGCTGCTAGATCTTCAGCTTTCTGCTCACGAAACCGCTTAGCCAAGTCTAACAATTCAGAAGTGTTTAAAAGATGATTGTCATCATTTAAAAATACATTCTTGTTGATTATTTTATGAAAGGAATTTAAATTAAAGAATAATCCTTGATTAAAGTACAACGCTAATGAAGTTGTAGACACAATAAGAATTAAGATTGGTAATGCATAACAGTATAACTAATGGTCACAATATCTATCGAAATAAAGAGATAAATCTGCCTTAAAATCAATTTCATGGGCTTTAATTTTCACAATCATTAAAAAAATTTTTGAACTACCAGTATGTTGTACATGTACATGTACCATAATAAAATTAATTATGGGTTAATTTTTATAGTAAATGCTACAAATTTTTCTCGCAATACGGTTGCACCAATTAACAAAAATAGAGCAGTCCTGTTAACAGAGGATCCCTTACCAGGATTATTAGCGATGAGTTCTTCCCAGTACCTCTTGTACTCCTCGTCCTGTCCTTTCATTGACAAAGACTCTCTTATCTTCTTCATCCTCTCCATTATAGTATCATGCAATGGACGCTCCCTTTTTCCTTCTTCTTTCTTCTCATTTCTAAAAGGAGAGGCTTCTGATGAAGACAAAGAAACAACGGATAGAAACAGAAACACAAGAACCCAAGAGGACATCTTAAATTTAGTATACGGACTTTCTACGGAGCAAGTTTAATGTTTTACTGAGAAGGTGCGGTTTTGTAAATTTAACTCCGGATATCCGTTCAGCCTTTAATATTGTGGGTGTGGCTATAATGGCAGGAATGGCTAGGGCAGAACCAGATATGTCAAATGCAGCAGAAAAGAAACGACAATCTTACAAATATTACAATCAAAGGTATTCGTTTTCATTGCCAATTAAAATACCTTTCTATTCTCTCTCTCCCCCTCGCTCTCAGATCTCAACTTGATTTTTATCCTGAACAAACTGATAGTGATGAAGAACCAAAAAGCAAAGCAATGATCCAGAAGGCATCAGATATGTAAGCTCTTGACACTTATTAGCACATGCACCGTACTTGTATATTTGCATCAAGCCCTGTGTGTATATATAGTGTGTTTGCACTCTTTTATCAAGACTACTATATCTGCTACTTCCACTACCAATACTACTCTTATCATTACTGTTGCTGTAGTTTCTCTCACTCTCTTAAAATATGATTACTGTATCACTCAGTTATTGTATAGAAGCCAGTTTAATACTAGCTCTTGCAGTTACTATACACAAATGTCAGGTTTCATTTAATATTAAGTTACTGTCAATATCAAGGACTTTCACTTGATAATGCAATCACTGATAACAGTGTAATACAACAGACTCTAGGATTCAGTGATATGTTGATTCATAGGTCAGGCATTGAAGACCCTTCGTGTGATCATCATCTATTATGGAGGGAAGCACCAAAACGTGTCCTACTAATGAAGAAGTTCAGAGATGAAGAGGTTACTGCAACTTTCAAGAATGTTGCAAAATGGCTGATAGAGGTATAAAGGAAAGATAGAGTAATGCATGCTTGACATAGTTATTGTCATTCTATAACAGCATACACATATTTGTGGTTATGAAAGCAGTGATATTTATGTTGATTCATATTCTGATAATTACCATAAAACGACTCCTGCATACTATGATACTGTACTTATGCTTTGTAGTGCTAATTCTGATCCTATTTTTGGTAGGAGATGAATGCTGTCATTATATGTGAGCCTGCTGTATTGAAAGAGAATCTTATCTGTCAAGAAGAGTTTAGTTCTATTTCTCGGCAATTTTTAACATGGAAAGATGGTAGGTAGTAATACATGTAGCACATACATGTACATTCTCTCTTTCTTCTTTATATTGTCTCCTCTTTGTTTCTCTTATTCTAAAGAAGATGAAGATTCTGAAGAAGAAGATTCTAAAGAAAAAGTGTTGTCAGATATTGACATAATAATATGCATTGGTGGAGATGGTACTCTCCTATACACCTCATCAATGTTTCAAGTACAATTAATGATGATCATATTAAACCTGTTATATCATTCATTGCTAGGATGGCACAGCAGTTCCTCCGGTATTGTCATTCAACAATGGCTCCTTAGGTTTCCTCACTCCCTTTCCCATAACTGAGTACAAAAGCCACATTCAGAGGGTCTTTAAAGGTTAGAGCTAAAACTGTATTACCTTTAACAGTGACAACCACTGAACATCAGTACAATATGTATATGCATTGATTGAATTTGATATGGCCAAAAAATCATGTTAAATATGTACATACACACATAAACCACTAGCTTCTTATTGTCTTCCATGTACTTCTATAGTTAATTTTAACACTCGCAACTTTATTTGCAGGTAAAGTAAGCATCACTCTAAGACACAGGCTAATATGCGAGATACGGGCAAATAATAAAGTTGCTCTCCCTCTTTCTCCTGATAATGAAGACATATGTCACGTTGATTATTGTAAAGACCATCCAGTCTCACCTCCTCCTAATGATATGCGAAGATTATCAAAGTTTTCGACTAAAGTCATGATAAGCAGCCAGGATAAACTAAAGACTAAAATGATGGTATGGAAGACTCGGATGTTTTTTGTTGTGTTTGTAGAGTTATCTAGCAATTCTTGTTTTTGTTTATTGTTTATTGTTTGTCAACAGGTGATGAATGAGGTTGTGGTTGATCGTGGCCCCTCCCCTTATCTGACTAATCTTGAGTTGTGCTGTAACGGTCGGCCAATGACATCAGTTCAAGGAGATGGTATACTAATAATAGATGATGACGATAATTAATTGATTCATTAATAATAGGTATAATAATAGCTACACCAACTGGAAGTACAGCGTATTCATTAGCAGCTGGTGCTTCAATGGTCCATCCCAGTGTCCCTTGTATGCTCATATCACCAATATGTCCTCACAGCCTCTCATTTAGATCCATTGTAATACCAGCTGGTGTGGAAATATCAGTAAGTTACCTATTATTAATGTTTAGCCTAACATCTATTAAACAAGTTGTGTGTCCCTTTGAATTTCATACTGAATGTTGGGAATTGCTTTCAAAATAAACTAGCAACTTTGGGCCAACAGCATAAAAACAGTTTTATGTAGACACCAAACTAGTTTCAACATAACCGAATGTAAGAAAGTTTCCAAGTGGGAATTAGTTTAAGCCATACACTAGGTAACATAAATATTGCATACAGTTTATTATGCTGTATTGCTAGTGACAACTGAATGTATGTTTTTAGGTCACAGTTGCGACTGAGAGCAGGAACTCTGCTTGGGTCTCATTTGATGGAAGAAACAGGCAGGAAATATTTCAAGGAGATTGGTTAGGATTTTTTGATTATTTAATATTTATTTTTTATTCTTTTCTTTAGTGTTGTGGTGACCACTAGCTCCTGTCCCGTCCCTTCTGTTAATAATACTGGTCACGTGACTGACTGGTTTGATAGTCTGGCTGAGTGTCTTCACTGGAATATTAGGAAGCAGCAAAAGAAACTATAAACTGTATCTATTGTGTAAATTATGTCATTCTGTTTGTTTTTAATTCAAAATTTTAACCGTTTCTTTAATAACTGATTATATTTTTTAATTAAAAATTAGAATTATAATATAATAATGTGTTAATATAGAAACTAAAAGTGTGAATGGCGTGTGACAGTTACTTGTATTTCAACAGCAACGTTGTGGTTGATTCTTGCTTCTATACACAAATCAGACATAATTATCGTTGACAATGACAGGGTCTAACCTTCTCTCTACTATACTGTAATGGCGTCATCTTGTTGTCATCTCTAATATGTGAATCGGCTCCTCGTTCTAATAATATTTTTAATGTTTCGGGACTATTCGATAAAACAGCGTAATGCAATGGAGTTAGGCCAGTGTTATCTTTAAGATTAATATCGCACCTGTGTATAATTGATAATTATAATTAATCTCCCTTTTCCCTCCTATTTCTTATCTCTCTCCTTACTTGTCTGATATTAATAATGCATTAAGTGACATAGTTAGGTTATCTTGTGAAGCTAAGTGCACTGCACTCCAGCCATGAAGATCAACAAGATTAATAGAATTAGGCTACAATGAATGAAGGAGAGCATGCAACACATAAAACATTATGCAGCAATGAAGAACTTACATTGTTTTGTACTATTAGCTGTATACATTGAGTTTTGCTATGCTGGACTGCATAATGTAGGCACGTTCTCCCCTCACTGTCACTTATTCCAATATCAGCCTATAAATAAAAACACAGCCATTATAATATAGTCCATTGCTCCCTCCCTTTATTCCTTCATACATTTCCTTGCAAAAGTGTTTTTATATTGTGAGGTTTATCTGCCAATACTGCAACATGCAACGGACTTTGAATACTGTTGTTGCGTCCATTGATGGCTTTGCTATCAACCGTTGAGTACTTTATAAGAGTTTCTAGTGTCCTATTATACCAATGGCAGTTAGTGATAGACTGTAGCAATCATTCTAATATCACTAGTACTTTGTTGAGTTGTTTCTAGCTGCTATATGATACACAGTTTCTCCATTGCAATCAGTTATACTGGTAATAGCTCCAAGCCTATAGGTTAAAATGTAGCCCTTTCCCGTTGTAATATTACACTTACTTTAGTAATGATTTGATGACACTGTGCTGCTCATGAAATGCTGCTAACATTAAAGCTGTTCTTCCATCTTTATTAACAGCATTGACACTAGCTCCTAAATCCTTTACTAACAAGCTGCAACACTATATTTAATAATAATAATAATAATAATAATAATAATAACAATAATATCAATTAAAATGATGATGGTTTTTACTTTACTGTTTCCAGCCATTGCAGAGTACATCAATGGGGTATTACCTTCAGCATCAGTGCAATCAATACCAGCCCCTGTCCCTGATAATTCTTTTACCAACTGACGATTATCTAAAAAAATAACAAAAAACAATAATAAATATCCTTTAGTAGTCTCACTGGATATTGCAGCAAAGTGTAGCTGTGATGGACTATTCTGTGTTAAGTTGTACTGATCAAGTAGCTCATCGACCGAAGACAAGCTAGCATTTATTGATGCAGAGGAAGACGCCATACTGCTAGTAATAGTAATAATAATAATAATAATAATAATAATAATATCAAGTATAATAATAATAATAGTATTAATATCAATAATAATATCAAGTAGATTTTCTCACAGTGGACTATAAACTGTAGGTAATGATCCAGTCCTGTGACCTGCATAAGCTCCCCCTCCTCCTATTCCTCCTCCTAGGCTTAGCATTGATATTGCTGAATTGGGTCTATGTGTGTAGTCAATGGAATTGAGATAAGAGCATTAAATTGATGCAATATACAGTACCTGCTATTGTATGGTGATACTACACTGGTGTAATCGTTGAACTGATAATACGAGGTTTTCTTAGCAGTGAATGTATCACAACCTATCAACAATGATTATAATGAATTAATAATAATAATAATAATAATAATAATAATAATAATAATAATAATAATAATAATAGTTGAAGCCTGCCTTGTATTTCACTAAGGAGGCCGATTTCAAGCAAACGTTGTCCAACTCTTTCGGCTCCTTCAACGTCAGTCACACCTTCCATATTAGCAGAAAACCACTGTGCTGCATCAAGACCTGTGACATCACAACAACATTAACAAATAATATTTAAGAATATTACGCACCAGTAAATATCCTAACTCCAGACTGAAGTACTTGAGATGGTATACCAGTGTTGGGATCAGATATGGCAGTACTGTACATCATCAGCGATTCATTGATGCTTTGATTATAGGGTGATACCCCATGCTGTTGCTATAGACACTGACATTACAAAGAATGAATAAACATGAACTTACTGGACTATAGATTGGATGCCTTGGTAGCATAACACCTGCCCTGATACCCAGTCCTGGTCTGTATATAAATAATAATCATAATTATTATTACTACCATAGTTATTATATATCTCTCAATACCTGACTGATATTGGCACTCTCCTAGGAATATTCCCAACTGTTGGTGGGTGAGGTAGGCTGGATCCTGTTGGTTGTGGTCTTGTTGGCAGTTGGGGTCTGTGGAAGAGTTTCTCTGATGACGGGCTAGCTGTGCCATCTGGTTTAAACCCTGCTCTCATTTTGGCAAGATATTCTTTTTGTTTCGCTATCTCTTCCTTTTCATCAGCTAGTCTGTAGAAAATAAAATGTAAAAAAATGTAAAAAAAAATTAAAAGTTTGAGAATGTCTAAAAGTATTATTTTATTAAATATAAAACAAGAAGTTGGCTCAAGCTTTTGGGATGCACTATTAGCTCCAAAAAGAATTAACAATTCTCACTACATGAGCTATGAGAAGTTTTTTTGAACATTGTTTAAAGATTCCTCATACCTTTTCTTTTCTTTTTCAACTTGTGCTAGTTTTTCTCTGTATTCATCTTCAGCTTCACTTCTAATCTTCTCCCTCTCCTAAACCATATACAAACACACACATACACACATACATGTACATGTACATATATGTAAATACACAAACGTTAGCAAACCTCTTCAATTGCCTTTTGTATATCTTCACTCTCTGCACCTCCTCCTTGCAAAAACTAGTGAGCATACAGACAGTCCAATAAGCACAATAAATGCAGTCATTATTGTACCATTTTCTCCATCTTTTCTATCTCTTTCAGTAGCTGCATCTTCTCTTCTTCTGCTTTTCTAAATAACTGCTTTTGCTTCACAAGCTCTGAAATGACCTCATCCTACACACACACATGATGATTGCATTGATCAGTTATATATTGTTCATGGATATTTACCTTTTCTCTCTTCAGTTTTTCTTCATCAATAGAAGGACCTCCTGTCCCTCCTCCTCCTCCTCCTTTCTCAAGCTGTTCCTTGAGTCTCTTTATTTCTTCCTGATAGGCTGACAGCAGCGCTTTTTGTGATACGTCTTTATTTATTATTGCTTTGTTTTTAACGTTTTTAGCTCTGTTATTATCGCGATATGGTAACAAAGACAATATCAGTAGGTTATTACCTTTTAGCAAACAATAAGCTATTGAGTGATTCGGTATAGCAAGAAGAGACGGGAGTTATTGTAGTTATTAGTGACGTTTTACAGTTACCACCTAATGAATCTAAAAAAAAAATAAAAAGAACATGTAAATGAAAGTTTGAAGGATTTCATAGGGCAGTTCACCTTGTAATATTCTGGTTAGTTTAGAATCTCTGTAAGGTATATGGGGACTGGAACTGCTAGTCAATGACATCACTACTTTACCAAAAGTATGGAGAGACACATTAATGTTCTTTGTCTCAGTTTGCTGCTGCAATTTAGCATCACTGTCAAGCCTATAGTAACAAATAAAGATTATTACTATCACAAAATTAATGGCTTACTTTTCCGATCCAGCTAAATCAACAAGTCTCAGTTTTCCAATGGTTACTATTCGACCACCTTCAGCAGTGCATATTGCATGTTCCACTATAATAGTGAACACTGTATGACTTCTACTGCTCTCCTATAAATAGTAACATTACATCACCAGTACAACACTGAGGGCCGGCATCTATAAATAGCATACCACATTCATCCTAGTCGATGCTGTCTTCCTTAGTGATGCTCCATCTTGTATCAACTTCTTTAATTCTCGAGTTGATCGGACGACATGTTCCGATAATCCTTCGACATAAACTCCACCCACTCCATCCTCTCGTATGCGAAGATTATCTTGCAAAGGGTTCTATGCCAAAACCACATTATCATCAATAAAGTGATTATCATCACACGTTAATTTTACCAGTAAATCTGTTAGCTTCTCGTTGTAGATTTCAAGATACAAAACACGAACAAGAAACTGGTCTTTAATGCTAGCGGTTGTTTTGATATCTGTTAATTGTAATGTTAAGGACAATATATACTAATGAATAAACTATAATTATAATATTTAATGTAATATTTAATTTAATGGAGGATACAGTTAAAGACTTCATCAGATGCTCTTGGTACTATTCCTCTGGTCATCTCGTCATTGCCTCCTTCAATTGTATAACTCTTACCAGTGCCTTAACAATAAATATCATAATAACTCCATTTTATTACATTTCATGATACATATACATGCATTTATGTTATGTAGAAAGTTTGAGCTCATTCTGATGAATTTTTAAAGTTGCTCTAAAATCAGGCAAAAGTCCCTGTGCTATAGTACAGGGTCATCGGTCAAATTTCACCAAAAATGAAAAAGAGAAAATTCTCAACTTTTATTACATTTTTTGATACATATACATGTTCTTATGTTGTGTAGCAAGTTTGGGCTGATTCTGATCAAGTTTGGATATTTTACAAATTTTTAAAGTTGCTCCAAAATCGGTCCGAAGTCCCTGTACTATAGTACAGGGTCATTGGCCAAATTTTGCCAAAAATAACTAGGAGAGAATTCTTCATTTTTATAATATTTTCTGATACATATACATGTACTTATGTTGTGTAGCAAGTTTGAGCTGATTTGGGTCAAGTTTGGATTTTTTACGAATTTTTAAAGTTACTCCTGCACCTGTTTGTCCATAAGCAATGATGCTTCCATTGTATCCTTCAAGGACTGACATTACAATGTGCTTAGCACAAGTATCGTATATCATAACCTGACTAGAGCTGAGAATAATTGAGGGTGGGAGAACATGAAAGAGAGAGAGAGAGAGGGAGGGAAGGAGGAAGAAAAGAGTAGAAAAGAATAAAATTAGTGCTACGAACAATTTGTTACTAATCATTACCTTGGATCAAACACAATGTCAAAGAAGAAGTTCTGCGAGTTTGAGGAAGAGTCTGAATTTTCAGAAAGCTCCTCCATATGAAAGGCGCTTGGTCTCCTTTTAGAAGGCTCATTCCTTGTAATAATGACAGCACTGTGAACCAACTCGACACTGACGCACTGCAACAAACAAAAAAGCAATCAAGAATCATGAAGGAGACATTTGCAATTTACATACATCAATGGCTCCTTCATTCTTCTCTCGCTCTATCTTTGGTCTAACTCGGACCGCAACTTTGAAATTATCAGAGCCTCCTCCACCAGGAGCAGGTTTAGCTCCTGATCCTCTTCTACTAGCTTCCATAAAGATTAGTAAAAGAGACTCAAATACAAAATCTACTGCACCAAACAAGGGTGGGGCTGCTCCACTGTTAAATGTAGGCGTGGTTTAAATGGCCACGCCCATAATGAATAATAATTATGTGGTAAGATTGGAAAAGGGAAATTTTAAAAAAGAAATAAATGAACATAAACAAAAGTGATATATATAATAATAAATAATGTGACAGAGACAACAACAATAAGAACAACAACTCAACAATCACAAAACAACAACAACAATAATAACAATAGGAGAAATTAATTAATAATGTTCTATGAAGGTTGTCAAGGTAATGGTGTTGCTATGGTGAAGTGTCTATTTGAGGGCATTGCCCAAGTCTTTATGTGTCGCGAGTATTAGTTGGATCTGCTGTCCAAGTTTAACATGCTTCTCTTTAGCAAGGGATAACGAAGACTGATGTGACGACTTTAAATTATTTAATTCTAATTTAATATCTGATAGCTGTGACTCCAGAATGGCATTAGTAGCTGTTGCTTCCTATTAGCAAAGCCACTAATCATCATTGCTATTCTTATTATTATAATTATTACTTGTAGTTTATCCTGCGATGCCTTTAAAGATGCCTGCAATGTTGTGACTTCCTATTAAGACGAGTTTAATTTAATTCGTTAATTTTAATTAATTTATTATCTTACGGTTCGCTTGTCTTGCAGGTCAGTTTGTACTGCTGAGAGAACTTCTTTTAATTCTTCATTTTCCTTTGTCACTGATTCAATCTCGCGTGAATTATCTTCTTGCTTTACAATCTTAAAGAGAGAGAGAGAGAGAGAGAGAACAGAAAGAGACAAAGAGTAAATAAACAAATAAAGCGTTATCATTACAGTGTACCTTCTTTTTCAGTTGGTCACATTCATCTTTATATTTCTGCAGCTGTTTCTTCCACTCGGTCACATGCTGTGCGCTCTCCTCAAGAGCTGTCTTTAACATTGTATTGCTGTTCCTTAACGTCTGCATCTCACTCTCCCACTTCTTCACATTCTGGGCACTGATAGAACAAACATTATTATCAATAATAATAATAATAAAGAAATAAATCATTTATTATGATACTACTAACCTGCTAGCCAGAGCAACTTTTAATTTACTATTTTCAAATTTCAAAGACTCAACTTGAGCATCCGATGAGACTTGCTTTGACGAAGAAGAGCGAGTGACAGAATCATTAACAACAACCTAAGGAATACAATGCTAATGCTAGAAATAATTATAACCATAAATGTACATGTACATCTAAATACAAATTATAATACATGATTATAAAGGTGATAGTACATGTACATGCACATACAAATAATAATGATAATATAACACTCTTATAATTCAATTTACTACAACTGAAGATATTTGAGGCATTCTTACATCATCATTATCCTTATCATTATTTCCATTGAGACTAGAGCTGGGAGCTAATGTCTCTGGTGCTGTAGTGAGAGATGCTTGAGTAGTTGAGAGAGTGGGAGATGTGATGGGTGAAGAAAGAGGAGGGGTACCTCCGCCATTTTGATCAGATGGGATATCGATTGAATCTGATCTGCTATCAACTAGTTTGCTATTATAAATATAGACAATAATTTTTAAAACAGTAATACATGTAGTTTTATTTCACCTGTTGGTGATAGATGTGTCTTGCAGAGTGGAATTATCCATGCTGCTAGAATCCTGCTGAGACGTTGTTTCTTGTTGCTGCTGCTGTTTCTGCTTCTTCCTTTCCTCGAGGAGAGCCTTCGCTGCCGTTTTTGCTTCCATAAATTTGTCGGAAAACTATAAAAACATTGTCAATGTTAGTACAAAACAATACTGATATTATTAATACGAGTAAATGAAAACAAATCATTATTATTATATATATATATATATATATACATGTGCAAGTACAAAATGATAACAATCAATTAAATCTGATATCATTTTTGTATAGTAAACTAGCAATACCTCACCATAAGTAAATCTTTCTCTGTACCAAACCCCAGACCATATATGGTATTAGCACGGTGGTCTGACCACTGGCCAAACTTTGGAGACGTTTTATTGAAACTCATATTAGCAGTGACAGTGCTATTGACGAGTGGCTATGACAATAATCATGGGGAAAAAGGGGGAAACCAAGAGAGAGAGAGAAAGAGAGAGAGAGGCAAGAACAGAAAATGAACAATTATTATTGTTAACTAAACACGATGATAACATTAATAATAAATATGATCGTATAAGTGAGTATGTATTTATCGATGTGTGTGTGTGTACATGTATCCAGTACCTTCTTTCCTTCAAGAGCAATGATTCGGTAAGTCTTTCTGTTGGTATCATGATAGTACGTCACACGGACAGCAGAACTTGATGAAGGCAGCCATTTCTTTTTTGTTTCCGGATCAATTTGAAATACGTGTGCTTGCACGCTCAGAACAGCTTTCTCACTACAACAAAGTAAATTAGATCCTTTACAATAGCGTGTCTTATTATAAATATATACCTCATTATGCTTTAACTGGTGGTAGAGGATCTTTGCTTGAACTTTTATAGCCTAAAATCGGTATGGACGACTGGCCTATAAGACTTATGGGCGACTTTTCTTTGAAATACGGGACAATAGAAAAATGGAGACAAGAGGGACCAGAAAAGGAGGGAGGAATAAACAACTCAAGACAAAACAGAGGGAGAGAGAGAAAAGAGACTGTATCAACACCCCCAAATAACCACACCCTTCAAACAGTTACCATGACGACCGGTAAATGAGCCACGCCCTTTTGAGCCACACCTTTTTGCTTTTGGGCGTATCTCGTTTTCTGCAGCAGCAATTATGGTGAGCTACAGCAATACTACTGATGTCCGTTTGCTTCAAGAGGACAGGGAAATTGTTCCCATCAGTTTAGCCATTACTAAAGATAAACTCATTATTGGAAAAAGGAATGAAGCACTGATACGACTAGCAGAAACTAAAGTAATACCACAATGACTTTCATAATCAGGCAATTGAATGTAATCACTCACTTTCTGTTCCCCTCCATCAGAAAAAAAAACTATAAAAATAAAGAATTTTCTTATTTTTAGTTTCGGTCAAAATTGGTAGAAATCCCTGTACTATAATAGTACAGGGACTTTGGCCCAATTTTAGAGCAACCTTATCATTCATAAAAATTCAAATTTGATCTCAAATTTTCTACTCAAAATAAGTACATTTTTTCTCCTCTCTCTCTCCATCTCCTTCTTTTTTTGTGTCAGGAAGGGTATAACCATCGTGAAGTAACTCTAAATAAACGAAATGAGAAATTAGGTCTTGTACTGAAGGTATGCCATTATGCACATTATTTGATGCTTTAATATGTTCATAATTATAATAGGGTGGGTTCGATAGTAATGATGTATTGCAAGTATCAAGAGTTGAAGAAGACTCTCCTGCAGGTAAGCCACAAGTCTGTGATATTAGTTTATAGTCTTTGTATCTTAGCTGAAGCTGATATCAACCCTGGTGTCCTATTAGTCCAAGTTAATGTTTTCATTTTAATAATTGTAATTATTGTATAATTATTATTGATAGATTAATGGTACACCAGTGCTGAATAAATGTCATGATGATGCTGTAAGCTATTATTACACATTTCATAGTAACTAATAATGCTCTTATGCAGATTGACATTATTAAGAATAGTGGAGATGCTGTACAGATTCATATAGTCTCGCTAAGAGCTAAAGAAAGAAGTCCAGGAACAACTGATGATGTTGGACTAAACCTATTGACTTTAGGTCAAGATCATGAATTGCCACTAGCTTTATTGTACCTAACGCAATACTCAATGAAACAAAACAGATTATTGTACGTTGAGGCTTAACATTAATACAAATATTATATCTATTATTATTAAATAGGCCGGACTCACTGCACATTATAGTCCATCCTTCAGATGCTGGTAAAGAGAAGAAAGAGTTTATACTAGGATCCAAAAAGAATCTTGATGTTATTATTAAAGAATTGAGTAAAAGTATTATATCTGCTAACAAGAAGAAGGTAATGAATCATCTCACTCAATAATGTATTTTATTTATTTAATTTCTATTTTTAATAGGTTGATGAATTAAAGAAAAACTTTGACTTACATGACGTAATATTTTTAATAATGCACAATAATAATTATGTTTTTTCATATGCCCATAGTTGATACTAGTATGCTGGGTAAATGAACTGATGGCATCATCAAAACAAAGCAAAGTTTGGATGAAAAGGCTACTCGTTTTAAGAAATGAAGAATTGGAGATATACAGTGACTTTCCAGTAAGCAAAGTGATTGCATAATATTTAGTAACATTTTTGTGTATAGAGGACTGCTGGAGACTGGCAGTCACCTGAGCTACACTATGGTGTATGTGACATTACATGGGGCCCATTGGTGAAGAATGATACTAATAGTCATATATATCGTCCTCACTCAATATCACTGCAGTCATCAACTGGAGGAAGGCACATTTTATCATTTGGTATGTGTTTGGTTCTTATTGTTTTCTCTATCTAATAATCATTGCACATATATAGAATGTGATATTTCACTTCATTATTGGGAAAGAGAATTGCTCATGGAAATCAAAGATGTTGTCATGAAAATAAATGTATGTTTGCTCCTATGTAAGATCAGCAGGGTTGCCAATAAGGGAGTGACAGGGCTTATATTTACATTGTTCATTGCCATCATTAGCAACCCTGATTATCATTTCCTTATATTATCATTAGGCTAGAACATTTGCTGCAAAGTGGGAAGGAAATGCTGTTGATTTAACAATCGATCTACAGCAAGGTTTTATCATTGAAGACTCAACTACAGCAGTAATAATGATACTGTCCTCTTATAAATGGTTTTATATTGACACTTATAGACTAAGCACTGGAGCAAGAAATTTGAAGAATTGGAGTCATCCAGTGATAATGGGAGCAAGGTGTTGTATCTTACCTTTAAAGATGGTGTTAAGCAATGTTTGGAGCTGACAGAATTACATGCAGTACTTTATACAATTGAAGCATTTCTAAAAACAAGAGTTTCTCTCTTATAAAACTTTTTCTAAATAAATTTATTTTTTGCAAAATAAAAAGCAAATTAACTAGACTAACTATTAAGAATAGTTTGTTAATAGAAAGGCGTGTCTAACCACACAGCCACACCTCTTTCATGGAGAATAAAAATGAAGAGAAATTACAGAGTTCTTCTCTTCATCTTGTTCTGTTTACTTGTCTCTACTACACTAATACCCTATCTATTATTGGACACTTTATCAAATGACCCCGCTACTGAACTACCTACCATCATTTCATCTCTACCTCCTACAGCAAGAAAAGCTCTTGACCTAAGTAATGAAGATGAGAGAGTTCTAAAACAGGACATAAACGAGCTGACTCGTATTAAACACTCAGTTAGGAACGAGCTAAGAGAATTAGAGGCACAGCGTGTAAAAATTGTACAGGACACTGAAAATCACAAACTAATCTTATTTAAATTACAAGACAACATTGCTGCTGCCCGAAAAGAGCTACAAATCACTCAGCATGAATTATCTAAAGTTTCACACGAGTTGTACTCAGCTACTAAAGCGTATACTCCTCAGACTATCATTACAGCTCCACCAATTGTTATCTTACCTCGTGCACCTTTTTATCCAGTTAACGACAAACCACGCTCTCTTTCTAAATCCAGTCACCTTTTTACTCCATGTTCGCTGATGAAGCCATTCAAAGTATTTTTATATCAAAATAATCAAAAAGCCAATAAAGAAGCTGTTGAATACCTGAAGGACATTGATAGTCTAACTCACAGGAAAGAGGAAGCGTGTCTCCTTGTTTCAATAGACACTGGCGCCAACACTGATGAAGAATACAACAAAGATGATCATGTACATATTATACTGACTCTGCCATATTCATCTCCTTCCCAATCTTCTTTGTCAATAAGGCGAGAAGTCCTAACTGCCCAGTCCGTCCCGTCTACCCATTGGAGGTATGGTCATGACATTATCATTCCATCATTAGTAGCTGCTAATGATCAACTTTGGAGCCTTGTACCAGCTTACAGGCAGTACTATTTCTATTTTGAAGGCAAGCCAGTCACAAAGTACGACAGGGACTTTTCTTTATGGCTACAGAAATTGACTGGTGGGACAAAAGGTGACGTATACATTAAAACCAATTGCAGTACATTGAATATCACAAGGATATCGGGTGGTTGGGGTTTATGTGGTGATGATAAATCAAGATCGTTATTATTAATGAAATCGACTTATTCGTTAATCGTATCTGCTAATAATAGCATTGTGGATTATATAAGATTATCTGAGTCGTTAGCTTATGGCTCTATACCAGTAATCATAGGCAAAATGGATCTACCATTCGGATCAATATTGGATTGGAACAGTGCCTGTGTTACAATACCTGTTACTGAAGTTCATGAAATATATTATATACTACACAGGATAACTCACGATCGGCTACTAGAGATGAGAAGGATTGGTAAATTCTTTTACGATACATATTTTAGCTCTTCCGTTCAGATAATAAAGACAGTGATATCAATAATGCGCTATAGAATGAACCATCTGCCACCTCTGGTCACTGACTACCAACCAAAGAGGATTAAAACTTACGGCATTCAAATAAACCACTTTGATTCACCTCAGTTTAACGGAAGCATGTCAGTCTATACGTATGAGTTCTGGAACCGGCCCCCTGGACCATTTTACATGTATCCGCATTCGCCTGCTTACAGCCCTTCTCCTGTTTCTGGTAGCCATTATCCAACCATGTCACCCAACGAATTAAAAAAACTCCCTCCTCATATTGTTCAAGCAGCTGGCATTACTGGACCATATTTTCAAAACTATTTGCTAGGGGATGTCCCAGGGGAATACTTCACAGTAGTAATGCTCACCTATAGAAGGGAAGAAGTTGTTAAGGAGTCTATTGAGAGATTGAATGGACTTGATCATTTAGCAAAAGTCATTGTTGTATGGAACGATCCTGACACTTCTCCTTACACCATTGAATGGCCAACCCTGTCTGTCCCTGTAGAGGTAAGTTGTTTTTTATTATTGCTATCATTGTTATTGTTTTCGTGTGTCAATATTATTATTATTATTATCATTAAGTCTGCAGTATTATTATTATTGCTACCATTGTTGTTGTTCTTATATTATCGCCCTAAGGTAATATGGTGTGAAGTGAACAGTTTAAACAATCGCTTCTTGCCATTTAATGGAATAAAGACGGAAGCCATCCTCTCCATCGATGACGATGTCTACCTCAGACATGATGAAATACAGTTTGCTTTTAGGTCAGTATTAGCATTATAATGATGATTATGTTATATATTAATCATACTGATGTTCACTTTGGCTAATTTTTACTGGTTTTCTGCAATAGAAATAAGTTTTTTCTAGCACATAAGCTAAAACATGAATTTCTAGAATAGCCAATTCACGAAATTTAAAACTTTCTGATATACTGACATATTGACACTAATGATGATAATATTGATTTCATTATTGAATGTTGACAGGGTGTGGAGAGAATCTCGTGATAGACTAGTTGGATTTCCTGGCAGATTCCATTCCTACGACATAAAGCACAATTCCTGGCTTTATAATTCAAACTACACCTGTGAGCTATCAATGGTGCTTACCGGAGCCGCCTTTTTTCACAAAGTAAAAAATGATAATGATAATAACGATGGACATAATAATTACTTTTTTAGTATTATTCGTATTTGTATTCGTTATGGCAGCCAGTGGCTGTAAGAGATATGGTTGATAGTAAGATGAACTGTGAAGACATAGCTATGAATTTCTTAATTGCTCACGTTACACGGAAGCCTCCACTCAAGGTATGCGAAGCAATTATTTTCAAATTAAACAAATATCAATCATTTTTTGATTGAATGTTGTGTAGGTTACATCAAGATGGACTTTTCGTTGTCCCAACTGTCCGGAAGCTTTGTCTCAAAACGAAGCCCATTTTAACGAGAGACACTCCTGTATCAACAGTCTCGTTAAGGTTGTAATCATATAATAATTAATTTCATTATTATATCTTTGTCATTGTGTTGGTATAGATTTATGGATATATGCCTCTGTTATACACTCAGTACAGATTGGACTCTGTTCTATTCAAGACAAGACTGCCTTCTCATTTAGAAAAATGTTATCAATATGTTTAATTCAGAAATAATCACTGTGCATAGTTAGTCTTATTTCTTATCATTGCTCAATGAATGTTGTTGATTGTAATTGAATACAGTAATTAATTGTTAGTGGGCGTGGCTTAGTATAATAACCACGCCCATATCATAACATTAATGTTGTTTACCCTCCTGCTGGTTGGGTGGGATCGTTTCTCTTTAGTCACCTTCTCTCTTTCCTCTCTCTCTCTCTCTCTACTAATGGCTCACAGGCCGAGACTAGGTCATGTTATACTTACGCGTTATGCAAACAAACCGGAAGAATTAGACTGTTTTCTCTCAGAAATGGAAGAGATACGACAAAAGGAAGATAGTGCCATTTCTAACTCTTCAGAGACCAACCACGCACAAAACGCTGGAGGAGAAGACGAGGACTCTGACAATAACGAACAAGAAGAAGGTTAGAGAAAGAAGCATCTAGCATTATTATGGTTGTGATGATATTTTAAATCCGCAATATATAGATGCCAACTGGCTCAAGAAAGCTGGTTTTGAAAATTTCGTCGCTTTAATGGAGAGTGAGTTTAATGGTGAATGTGTTGTGTATTTATTTATTTATTAATGTGTACAGACACGCAGGGTGACGAGTGTCCATCGTCCCACATTGATATCACCGGGTTACCGAAGGCTCACGCGGTGGCCATTCGACAGAGAATGCACACACTTCGTACGACTATCAGGTATTGCGCAATAATGGGTGTGGCCTCGTGGATTATATTAGTGGGGTTTCTTTAGGTCGAGACGCGGTCTTGAAAAGAGAAGAGGTTCTGGTCACAGTGATGTGAGGCATTTGTTTATGGAATCGAAACAAGTAAACTGTTATTATTATCATCATCATTATCAATATTATTATCATCATCATCATCATCATTATTATTATTATTATTATTATTATTATTTATTATTATTATTATTATAGCATGTTGCCGATAGCTCAGATAGTTCTGTTGAATTACGCTCAGTACAATCTCGTAAATCCACACCTTCTCTTCAATCAATACCTAGCGAATTATTACTTGACGAAGCCCCACCCCCCTCTACTAACACACACTCCTCTATTACCGATATTTCATACCCACCTACTCCACCCACCACTGATGACACATGTCCCACAACCCCGCCCACTACTGATTTGAACGACCCTGACTCTCCCATGGCTAAACCCCCTCCTAGTGACCTTCCTTTATCTAAGAACTCATCACCCTCTCCGGACTCTGGTACCACACCGATACAGGCTGACATTAAACTAGTAAGAATATAATTATTTTTAAATTATTAACTGGTAAGAATAATTATTTTAAAATTATATTAAATAGTAAGAATAATTATTTTAAAATTATTAAATAGTAAGAATAATTATTTTAAAATTATTGCTATCCTCCCTCTCTCTCTCCTCCTTCTCTTTCCCTTGTAGTCATTTTGCTTATCGAGCTATTCTCAGTTATCAAAGTCCGAAAGTTTACCGGTAAAGAAATAACAAATAAAGAAATAAACGAATGTATTATTAATATTCATTATTATTATTAATATTCATTATTATTATTATTAATATTATCATTGCTAGAGCATATCACTGGATCCTGACTCACTCGGCATAACAACAGTTGAGGATCTATCAGACGGTGATATGGAGAAAATTAGATGTTTAGCCCATATTGAGCTAACCATTACCTTTGAGGAGAACAGCATACCATTTAAAACACTTAGAGCACCAAGACAAAAAGGCAACAGTTAGCTGTACTTTATGTATCTTAAATTTATTATTGCTCTTGTTTGATAGTTGAAGAGAAGCAGTTTGGGTCCAGTCTGTCTGTACTGTGGCAGTTGGACCAGCAGAGATGTCCCAAAGCTGAGGTCCCGATCATCTTCAAAGAAATGATACAGTTTTTAGAAAATAATGGACTACACGATGAAGGGATATTAAGAGTTCCTGGATCAAAACAGAAAATTAAAGTACAATCTTGTCACCTCTCTCTCTCTCTCTCTCTCTCTCTCTCTCTCTCTCTCTCTCTCTCTTTCTCTCTCTCTCTCTCTCCCTCTTTCATTCTCTCTCACTCCCCCTCTCTTTCTCCTACTAATTGTACTCTCTCTCACTTATCTGTAGGAGATACAGGACGAAATTGAGGCTAACTTTTCAAGTGGTAGCTTTACATTTGATGGTTGTAAAACAGTTGTTGTGGCATCGTTATTAAAACAGTTCATACGAGAGCTACCAATTCCATTACTGACCTACGAACTGCTACCATCATTCGCTAGCATTGCTGACATTAATGATCTAAAGGAACAAGTCAGAACACTGAATCTACTGATATTGATTTTGCCATCGCTACATCAGAGGGTACTAAAGGTAAGTGTTTTTGTTTACATTTAACTGTTACATAAACAAATCATCATATGGCTTCGTTGCAGTGTTTACTTCAATTCTGTGAAAAGATATCCAAAGAGACAGAGCATAATAAGATGGATATTAAAAACATATCGATGGTCCTAGCCCCTAACTTATTTTACAAGCTATCATCGTCAAAATTATCCTATAATGATGTCACACTAGCTGCTAAAACAACTCACGTTGTATTACTAATGATTCGATATCATCGTGTTCTATGGACCGTGAGTTTGTGTACATGTACATATGTAAAGGGAGAGGGAGAGGAGTGTGTCTTGTTGTGTATGTCAACACTTGTACTGTATCCAAAGGAAAGGAGTGGGAGGGAGAGAGGTACAGTCAAACCTGTCTTTTTCGGACACCTTGAGCCCCAATAATACCCTCCTGATTATGAACCTGTCCTTATTTTAGAGGTTCATTAATACACATTACTATTGTATTGGGACTGATACTACCTGTCCTCATTATAGAAGTGTCCTTATTTTAGAATGTCCACAATGTAGGCAGGTTTGACTGTACATTCGTTTAAAGGGAGAGGTATGCATGTATGTACCTGCCCATGTAGTTAAGCATGCACATGTACATGCCCATGTAGTTAAGCATGATGTTATTGTCAAGTGTATCTTAATTCATTTGTACTTGTACTGAACAGGTTCCAAGTGGAATGCTCTCGCAAGTCAGATTCCTTTACGAATCAGAGCTCAAGAAGCTTAATAAGAGGAATGTTAAACAAGCACTCCAGAAGATGAGTCAATCTGAAACCACACCACCAGCAAAGAAACCCGAGGTAACATAGATTGAATAAATAAATAAATAAATAATAATAATAATAATGATAATAATTTGTAGTCTTCAAGTAATAATACAATAAAGGTGAAAACACCTTATTTCAAGTCAATAAGTAAAGTCGTCAATATACAAGAGAACCCAACAGCTAGTACTGTCATTGCTAAACTATGGAAGAAATCACAGATTGATTTTGACGTCATTAGGAGGGTCAGTATCACCAGCACTAGTGATTATACACAGATACAGCAGTCACCTAACGGAACTGACATTGAATTTGATGAAGACGTAACCGAGCAGTTTCTATATGAGGTTGGGGGTAATATTGGTAAGTGCATATATAGAATGATGTGCTATAGTAATGATGAATTGATAACGATAACATTCATTTTAATAATAATAATATTATCGATATCCTAACTTTCCTTTACCATTTCTAAAATCACATCTTTCTACATCTTAGTGTAAGCATATTTCTAAACTGTTCTTTTATATGAATAATAATATTTGAAAATCTAATAATAAGTATGTATAATAACTCATTACTAATGTGTTGTGTAGGTGAGAGGAGGCTGCATCCTGATACAAATATGTTGGCGCTTTTTGAGGTTAATCCAGCAGCTGTTTGGGTCATCAAACCAAAGAATTGTCCTTCTAGCACTGAATGAGAGAGATTGTACTTTATGTGTGTGTGTGTGTTATTTTTTAATAATTATTATTATAAATTGTTTTATTAATGCACAGCATCAGTCACTCTGTGTATTTATTTTCCTTTCATTTTTAAATTCTTCTTATTAAATTTTTATCAGTAAAATTAAATTTTTATCATTAAAAGGGCGTGGCTGTTAAAAGTTTTGATCACGCCTACTTCAAAATTAAGCCCTGAGAGAGTACAATCATGATCTTTCTCTTGTTATATTTACTGGTTGCTCCTCTCGCTCACTCTGAAGTTAGAGTGAGAGTTGATCCAGTGCTTGGAGACGATGAGTCTTGTTTGTCTGTTCCTGATATTATTCGTAGAGGAGGAGGTGAAGCAACTGATGATGGCGTCCCTTGCGAGACCATTAATTACGCCCTCACTGGGAATTATACTAACGAGTATTATAGTACAGGTAATATAGTACGTGCAGAGTAAATAATACTTTTAATAAAAATAATAACTATATTAATAATTATTCATTATTGTAGTTGCTGTATTTTAAAGTTATTTTTGAAATCGAAAATAATAATAATGAATAAAATAATAATCATCAACAAGAATGAATCATAATACTAAGTATATGTATCATGTACACTTGATGCTATTACAATTATAATTATTATTTTAATAATTATTATTAGATAATTGCTCAGAAGCCCCAATCCTGTTCAGTGATATTGTAATATCACTGAGTTCTGATGTACATTCATTGACAGAACAGTTGAGACTAGTAACGTACGGTGATGTCACTTTTGAAGGAGACGGATCAGCTAGCATAGAGTGTGTCAGCTTTCCTAATTATCAGTTTAGGAATTTCGATAATATATTTGCTTGTGGGGTTTCCGGGTTAACTTTTAATGGCGTTGTGTTTGAGAGGTGTGGCCCTGTACCGTCTAACGTTTTCATTTATAACTCAACTAATATCCTGTTTCAAAACTGCATATTTAGGTAAGGAGAGAGAGAGAGAGAGAGAGAGAGAGAGAGAGAGAGAGAGAGAGAGAGAGAGAGGAAATGTGAGAGAGACATTGGAATGTCATTATGATTATTATCCAATTTAAATAATTAAATAATAGCTCCTTATATGTATTCTCATAGGGGTAACACAGGCTCCTCACTCCAGCTCCGGTTTGTTGATAGCCTAACGCTAATCAACACTTCGTTTATTGGGAACATGAATAATGCCACCCCCATATCCAACAACAATGAAACCAGCATAGACGACTTGTATAACATCATTCAGACGAGTGGTGGTCTTACTTATATTGCTGGAGCTCACAGAATCAGTGTCATTATCAGTAACTGTAGTTTCATTAGCAACAGAGCCAGTTCTAATCTCCCTAACGACACGAGGCCTGTACTATTGAAACAGAATGGCCATGGAGGCGGAATGCTGATAAGACTATCCGGGACTACAGGTGGATCTTTTGTCATTGAGAACAGCTTCTTTATTAATAATAGCGCTCAAGTTGATGGAGGTGCTGTGTATGTATCTTATTCAGATAAAACTGAGAATACGAGCATTAACATACTTAATAGTAGTTTTATTGGTAATTCTATAATTGAAGCAGCTGGAGGCGCAATCAGTTTAAACTCTTTTAATTTCACATTCGGTAACAAGATTAGGATCAGCCATTGTATATTTGAAAGGAACCATGGGAGTGCAGGGGGAGGGGTCAGTATGGCACTTTATGATAGTAATCTCAACACTATAGAGAGGCCTGATTCCATTCATTTCACTGATAGTGTTTTTAATAATAACTCGGCCTATAATGAAGGGACTGCTGTCGGTTTGTTTTCGTTGGTCCATGTTGATCAAGTTGGTTTTCTTGTTCATTTTAATAATTGGTTAGTAGTAGTAATAATAACAAAGTCTGTGTACACTAGGGACTTTGACCAACTTCACCAAAAATAGCTAGGAGAGAATTTTTCATTTTTATAATGTTTTCTGATACATATACATGTTTTTATGTAGCGTAGAAAGTTTGAGCTGATTCCAATCAAGTTTGGATTATTTACGAATTTTTAAAGTTACTCCAAAATCGGACCAAAATCCCTGTACTATAGTGCAGGGTCATCAGCTAAATTTCACCAAAAATGACTAGGAGAGAATTCTCAACTTTTATTACATTTTTTGATACATATACATGTTCTTATGTTGTGTAGCAAGTTTGAGCTGGTTCCGATCAAGTTTGGATTTTTTATGAATTTTTAAAGTTGCTCCAAAATCAGGCCAAAGTCCCTGTACTATAGTACAGGGTCATCGGCCAAATTTCACCAAAAATGACTAGGAGAGAATTCTCAACTTTTATTACATTTTTTGATACACATACATGTTCTTATGTTGTGTAGCAAGTTTGAGCTGGTTCCGATCAAGTTTGGATTTTTTTACGAATTTTTTAAGTTGCTCTAAAATCGGGCCAAAATCCCTGTACTATAGTACAGGGTCATCAGCTAAATTTCACCAAAAATGACTAGGAGAGAATTCTTCATTTTTATAATTTTATCTGATACATATACATGTTCTTATGTTGTGTAGAAAGTTTGAGCTGATTCCGATCAAGTTTGGATTTTTTATGATTTTTAAAAGTTGCTCCTAAGCTAAGCATACTTTTAGCTTTTATTAACATGCATTGTGGGAAACCAATAGTATAGTAATAATAATAATAATAATAATAATAATAATAATAATAATAATAATGTTCATTATTTTGTAGTCGTTTTGAAAACAACACCTCTATTGTGAATGGCTCAGGCAGTACTGGTGACACAAGTGCCGTGGCTGCCTTTAGATTCCCGACCTTATTTGATGGTACTAACGTCTTCTTCAATAACACTGGAGGAGGGATAATGCTACTCAATACCAGAATGCAGGCTCATGGTGATATGAGGTTTGAATATAACAATGCCATATTTGGTGGAGGTATCATGATGGATGACAGATGCTTAGTATGTTACAATAATAATTTGAATTTTTCTAATTTTTCTGCTCTCTCACTCTCTCCCTTTTCTTCTCACGCCATTACCTCATCAGTTGGAAGTTACTCCAAATTTAAACATGACCTTTCTTAACAATTATGCCAGTGAATCAGGCGGCGCCATTTACGTCGAGTTTCCTCCAATTCGGTTCGTGATTGATATTTTCAATCGGTTGTGTTTCTTACAGTATAATGACGGTGGATCTGATGTACCTCCTCAAGAATGGGAGGTAATTTAATTTGATGTACTTGTACATGAACTTTATTTATCTTTTTCTGTTTCTTTACTTCTCTTTCTCTCCCTCTCTCTCTCTCTCTCCCTTTCTCTCTCCCTCTTTCTTAACCATTACAGAATGTCAACATCAAGTTTATCAATAACACAGCTAGAATCAGTGGTGCTGCCATATATGCTAGTGACATGCAGAGGTGTACTTGGCTGGGAAATGTATCCAGTGACAATTCAACAATATTTAAACTCCCAAAAGGAATCAAATCTCCTTTCTACTATGACGTAAGACAGTTATAGCATTGATATCACAAAAACATTGTGCATGTACATTAATTTGTAACAATAATTAGAAATTGGGTCTGCTAGTAGTACAGGACTTAAGTATTTTTGCACGAATTGAGTAAATTTTAAAGTATGTGTAAATGCAGTGCAGTATTCACTGCATTAACAAAAATTGTGGTAGTACATATTATTAATCTACAATTATAATGTTTTTATTCAATAATATTATCATTTTTTTCTGAATTGCTAGAATAACATGTTAGAATTAAGATCTGGTAATATTGTGCAAGACGAAGAATTAGCCACAGCACCTCTGAGGCTTCATTCAAGTATCAACGTAAGGACTTCGCTAATGAATAAACTAATGATATATTAATAATATGTTGTATAATTACTGTAATAGTTTAATACGGTCCAGCCTGGCGAGTATTTATCAATCACACTGTTTGCGACTGATCAGCTAAATAACTCAAGGGAAGCCGTTTGGTCACTAAATTCACCTGATCAAGATACTGTAAGTCCACTCTTTATTATTATTATTATTATTATTATTATTATTATTATTATTATTATTATTATTATTATTATTATTATTTTATTATTAGCAATTGGATGCTTTATCTGCTAACAACGATACATTCATCTACACAGTACCAGCTTTAATCTATCTCCAAGACAACTTGCTAAACCTTAACTTTTCATTACTAAAGACACTGGTTAGCCCTCACTCCTTCCTTCCCTATAATAATATCCCCATTACTCTTAGGGCATGAATGACTCAATAAGTGTTCGTGTAAGTGACTGTCACCCAGGATATGTCCATGCCAATAGGAGCAGAAACACATCGCTGTGCACCTGTGACAATAGCAATAGCGATATCATAAGATGTGATGAGCAAAACAGATATGTGTATCTTAGAGTAAGTATAATATATAGACCCATGATTATTATTATTATTATTATTATTATTATTGTTATGGTTATTATTGTTATTATTTTTATTTTTATTTATTTTATTATAGAGTGGAATATGGGGTAGAGGTCGTAATGGTAGACTGTTAACGACTCGTGTGTTACCCGGATATATTTACTGTGATGCCCAGGGGAGATTGCCAGGCTGTAGATTTCAATTTGATAATGAAACGGGACAATGTCAAGAAGGAAGAATAGGTACATATTATTAATATAATTATTATAATATTATTATTATTATTATTATTGTTGTTGTTTGTTGTTTAATTGTTAGGTGATTTATGCGGTCAGTGCAAAGAAGGGAGAGGTGTTAGTCTTGATCTTCAAATTTGCTCTGAAGTTTCCTGCTCTGTTGGACTTACCTTGTTCCTCTTATTAAGCTGTAAGCTCTGTAATAATTATCTGTTTTACCTCATCCATCATTTGTAGGCCTCGCTGTGTTAATATTTTGTTGTGCTATCTTATATATCAATGTTACTATTCCTAATGAATTAAGAGGATTTTTGTTTTATGCCCAAGTGAGTAACGTATGGTGATCGTCATAAAGATTATTGTTGATTAGGTTATCGGATTAATCTATAGACCATTTAGTGTTTCAGTGACAAGATCAGGAGCTATTGATGTAAAATAATAATAAATGCAATGGAAAACTTTATTTCTCTTTTCCTTTCCCCATCTCTCCTTCCTTTTTTCATAATAGCCAGTTGCTGTTGTAGTTAATGTGTTAGGGTTTAGTGTTCCTATACCATTCTGTATATCACAGTCATTAGGAGCTGAGTATGTGGCTCTCTTTGGGTACATACCACCTCTCATTATGATAGCTGCATGCCTTGGATTTGTGCTAGGGTAAGTCACAGTACATGTACATGTGTACAAAATACTGAGTAACTGATCTACAGTGCTTAAATGTATTAAAAATTCTATTTTTTGTTTTTTGTTAATAGAGCCCATTTTGTTAAACGGTTTGCCCACCATTCGGCTATTAAGGGAATCACTTGTCTATCTTATTTCATTTACAAGTATCTCGCTGACACCAGCTTTGTGTTTCTCAGTTGTGCCCAAACACCAATCGGATTTGTAAGTCGCTAGTAATAATTATTAGCCATTATTTTTTTTGTTTTTTGTCAGAGATTCCAGTATGATGGAAGTGTTAGTTGCTTGTCTCCATACTTTGGGACCTTCTTTTTTCTTTCTCTTCTCATTGTCACGTTTTTTGTTGCTCCCTTGCCTTTTGGAGTCTGTTATATCTCCACTTACAGAGGACCACAAGTTAGACAGAATAATGAAAATTAAAATGATTTTTGGAAGCGTTTTTTTCCAAAGAACTCATGTTATAGTCCACAATTGATTTGACCCCAATCCTCATTTTAGATATTCCGGCCGTTTGCCGATGTGCTGACTGACGGATTGAAGGATAATAGAAGGCTGTGGGGAGGCTGGGACGTTGGACGTCGACTCATATTCGTCTTCATATCATTCTTTGTTGTAATAGAAAGACCATCACTGATAGTAGTAAGTGATTCATTTTCACTGACGTTAAAAATTGAAAAAAAAACTTATTGATATAGTTCATTATGTCATTGGCAGCATTAGTAGTACTTATAGTGCACATAATAGTCAAACCTTTTGAAAAGGAGTACATCAACGTGATTGAGGCACTGATATTGTTGGACTTGGTACTGGTAACTGGAGCGTTTCTTTCTCCTGATCCAAACTCTCCTGCCATTACCATTGGATACATATTCATGTTCTTACCATACTTGTATTGTATTGGATATGTGATCTATAGAATAGGATTTTATATCAGGTAAGATAAAACTACTATCATTGCTTGTAATGTATTATTATGATCCTTGTTGTTTGTAGAATGAGAATAAAAGTAAATAAAAGCTCTAGTACTGCTGTTGATCGCAGTGAAGGCTCACCTACTTCTGATGATAGTGCAGAAGAGAAGAAGTCACTGCAGAATGCTTCTCCTCCTCCTCTTTCATCATCATCAGGCTCAGCTACCAAAACACAAAGCACTGGTCTTACAGCAGGGACAGGATCTTCCTCTTCTACTAAAAATAACACAGCTGCTACTAGTTCTACTGCCCCTAGCGTTGGAGGTGATAATTCTAAGGAAACTGGATATGCATTGCGCGAACCGTTATTAGATGATGATGAACATTGTCAATGGTCACATTGAAATATTTTTAAAAATATTGTCTTTATTTGTCTCTTTTTGTTTAAAGTTCTATTTCATACAAGTTTTTTTTTTCTGTCTTTATTTCATTAATTTTTAACATGATAATAAGACTTATCTCTTTCAAAAAATGTTTGTTAGTATTAGTAAATATCGCTTTCAGAGTCTGTATTAAAGTCATCATCTCTCCAGCCTCTGATAAAATCATCTTCAGTTTTTTCATCTTTTATGTCCATTTTGTTGTCCTCCAGTGACTTCTCCCTCTCGTAATCTTCATGTAGATTCCTCTCTTGGTAGTATGGAGGTAGAGAAGGAAAAGGAGAGACTGCTTGTACTCGTGATAAAGTTGCAGCCAATTCCCTTTTATCCTCCTTCTCAGGATGACGTATAGTTGATACTAGAATGGTCTCTTCCTTTGGGTCACCAAGTCTCAGTTTCTCAAGAAGCTCTGGCTTGAGTAGAGCATCTATGTCAACGAAAGGTCTGTGACAAGTTCCTGAATCCTTTTCATCATTATCCAGTGAATTACCATGATTGGAATCACTTTTTGGTTTGTTTAGTGGTTCATTGATGACTGTACTAACATTAGATGCCTTTGATTGATGAAGATTAAGATGCCTCCTTTTTGTAAGGGATGACATAAACGTGTCACTGCTCCTCAATTCCTTAGGAAACCTGTTTGGATGTCTCCAAATTGGCTGCATAATAGATGAGCCTCTAAAATTTTTCCTCAGTCTAATTCTTTTTTTTGAACTTGCATTACTTTTATTGACAGGTGTAGGTACTTCTGTACAAGGAGAGGGAGGGGGAGAAGGAGAAGAAGCAATAGGAAGAGGATCAACCTGTCAAGGTAGACTCAGTTTTAATATCATGGAAGAAATAATAGTACATGTATATACCTGCGGTAATCTCCATGTCATGTGACTGACACATGTTACATAATGTCTCTTCCATATTGTTAGAGGGTTCGATTGAGTTGATGGGATTGGAAGAAACCAGCTGTAACGCAGACACTTTGGTTTCCATAGCATGTTTTGTTCTGAGAGATAACGCCAGTACCAAGAAACCTTCATGCAAAAAATGATACAAAACAGCTAGATTATAAGCATTAAGAAATCTATCTATAATACTTATAATGATTAATATTACTTGTGCTGCTCTGCATAAAGATCTTGCATCAAGATAAGATAATATCTTGAGTGAAATACTACGAGGAAATACGCGAGTAAAATCCTCCCTAACTTCTGGAAGTGGTGGACGTGGAATGAGTGGATCAAGAAGAGAATAAATATAGTGAAGGTCTTTGTCTGAGAGTTTCAATAGCACAAATTGGACTAGCTCCCATCTTTGCTCATCAGTCCATGCAGAATACTAAGAATGATAAATAGAGTGCATGCAAGTATGATTCATGCTGCAAATAGTGCAGTAATGTAGCAGGATAAGAGATTTATGATACTTCTAATGCATTTTATAGTAGTTTGAGGACTTGGTTTTACCAGACTATTCAAAAAATTGTAAAAAATACACTTACCCATTTGCTCAGAAGTGCCATTCTTTCTTTAAACAGCTACAATAAAATATTTAATATTCTGTAGCTTCCCTAAATTATTTTTTATTCTTTAGACTGCACCTTATCATTTAGGATTTTGTTGCATATTGGAGTCCAAGCACTTTTCTCTGTCATTTTTTTGCTGAGCAGGTAGGTGTGAACTAATTACAGTTAATAAGTTACTTAACTAGATACAAATTAACTGGTAGTGGGGAGGTTAAAATGCGCATGCGCGAAAACAGTCGATCCCTCGTGTAGTGTCGATAAAGAGAAGCAATGGCGGACACAGGGTAAGCAAAAAGATCATTATTAATCAGCCGTGATGAGCACTTGTCTCCTTGCTGGATAAGGAAGTGAATAATGCTAGGATTTATTTTTATTCTGTAGCGTGGCTGAGGGAGGGAAGCTTCCCCGCGTACCAGAAACACTCTTGAAAAAGAGAAAAAGATTACAAGAGATAAAAGAGGCAGCAGCTAAAAGAGGAAGGGAAAGAAGCAAAGTGAGACATTTACATTTGCATCTCTGTTGTCAGTACATTACCTCTTCATGTGAATTAACTCTCCTGTATCCCTCCCTCTCTTTTATATTTTTCTCTCTTTCTGGTAGGCTCGCAGGCTACAGCGTAAAGATATTTTCAAAAGAGCCGAGAAATACGTTCTTGAGTATCGCCAGAGAGAAAAGGAAGCCATCAGACTAAAGAGAGAAGCCAAGACAGCTAAAAATTATTACATTCCGCCAGAGCACAAGCTTGCTATTGTTGTTAGAATAAAAGGGTAAGAGTGAAGCAGAGATTGGTCAGGGTTTCTCACAAAGCATAAGCTGACAAGCACTACAATACAGTACATGGCATTTGGAGCAACTTTAAAAATTCATAAAAAATTCAAAATTGATCGGAATCAGCTCAAACTTTCTACACTACATAAGAACATGTATTTGCATCAGAAAAGATTATAAAAATGAAAAATTCTCTCCTTTTCATTTTTGGCAAAATTTGGCCGATGACCCTGTACTATAGTACAGGGACTTTTACCCGATTTTGGAGCAAGTTTAAATATTCATTAAAAAATTCAAACTTGATCGGAATCAGCTCAAACTTTCTACGCAACATAAGAACATGTATATGCATCAGAAAAAATTATTAAAATGGAAAAATTTCTCCTGCCCATTTTTGACAAAATTTGGCCAAGGACCATGTATTGGATTGTTGCTTGTTTTATACTTTATGTACATGCACATCTTTGTACATGATATCTTTGATCTCTCTCACTGTTCTTACTTTTCTCCTTTAGTATCAATGGTTTAAGTCCGAGAGTCCGAAAGATCCTTCAGATCATGAGATTACGTCAGATCAACAATGCCGTTTTCATCAGGTTAAACAAAGCGTCGCTGAACATGCTCCGATTGGTTGAACCCTATGTTGCCTGGGGGTAAGTCATACACTCTTCATTCTCTTCCATGTATTACTGACCCTCTCTTTGCTTTCAATCATTTCTTTCCGTCTCTTTTAAATTCCTTATTCCTCAGATACCCTAGTCTTAGAACTATCCGATATTTGGTTTACAAGCGTGGATACGGGAAACTCTCACAAAGGAGGCGGGTCCCACTGCTTAGCAACGCTATAATCCAGAAGGCACTCTTAAAGGATAACATTATTTGCATGGAAGACATTGTCCATGAGATATTCACTGTTGGTCCGAAATTCAAGGAAGTCAATAATTTCCTGTGGCCGTTTAAACTGACGAATCCCAAGGCAAGCGTTCTTTAGCAATTTACTTTTAAATCTAGGAGTTTAGGAGACTTGTGTCTTCCATATTTGGTCTAGGTCTCCTGAAATCTCCTTGCTTTTGGTGCCACATATTTAGCTTAGGTTTTCCATTTTTAGTTAGATTAGTCTCCCAAAATTTATTTGTGGATCTAACAATGGCTAAGTCGTTTAATTGTTTCTTGTCTGCTCTTATAGGGTGGTTGGAGAAAGAAGACAACTCACTTTATTGAGGGAGGTGATCACGGCAATAGAGAAGAACTGATCAATAAGTTGGTCCAGAAGATGATCTAGTTCAAGATTGACTGGTGTCCATCATGATATTAATTGTGCCATTTATTATTATTATTAATGATTTTGGAAATCTCTTAAAATTAAAAAAACTGCCAATACACTGAGATTGCATGATACAAAGGCCATTCATTTACTGATAATATTATTGGTTTTGAAAATTCTAAAATTCAATGGACTACCCGTCAAAAATAAAACACGATGCTACTAATAATAATAATATGCTTAATATATTGCTACCAAAATCTCTTGAGTCTAAAAATAGTAACAAAAATAGAGCTCTCTCTCCCGTTGCTTCCTATTCGTTGGAAGGAGCTGGCTTGATTGGTGGAGTAGGAAGGTTCAGTTGTAGTGGATCGTGGAGCCGCTCAATCTCACCTTCAACTTTCATCATCGTGTCCTTCAGATGGTTAAACCTTTGGAGTATAAAATAAAATAGAATTAAAAATAAAATAGAATTACAGAGCTTGGATTAATAGGCTTTTTTGTTGCACTGGTATAAAATAGATGCATCTTTACCTTTCTACATCAAACTTCTTGGTCTGGGCCATACTGTAAACTCTCTTCATCTTTTCCCTACTGTACCAATCAGGATATACAAAGTCCTATTAAACGAACATTGAAATCTCTTTTATATCAACATACATGCAATATTATAATTTTTATAAAACTTAGCAAAGCTTCATAAAATTGTCTTTTTTTTTGAGTACTTTTTAGAAATTGACACAATATAGTCCACGAATACATAAATATTCACGATCATAATTGACTCAAAATTTCCAATTTTTTGATGTATAAATACATTTCATTATACTCCTCCTCCTCATCTCTCTTACCTGTCTCGTGATGACAAAGTAAGCAAAGCAGAGTATGCTGGTTGTGTACGTCACAAAGTACGTTATGGGTTCCATCAAATCCCAAGAATAGTTGACGAAAGTGAGTCTAGCAAAGAACCCAGTCTGAGCACACATGTACGCCAGGAGCCCCCAGCTGAGGTACGTCGTACGTTTGGCGCTCTTTTCCATGAGCTCCTGGCACTGGGACTCTAGTGGAGCTAGTTCCGACCTTATCTCTTCTAACTGCTTCCGTAACTCCCTCTCCTTGCTTAGCTGGAAGCAAAAAGGAAACAGATAAAGTATAAATAAATAAATAAACAAACTGGATAAATGGATTGTATTGGCAAGCTAAGTGGTTGTATAGTCAAATTAAAGCTATGTGTACAATATTTACAGGTTTATGTTTAGTTGAAGAGGATGTATAATGATATACATATACTGTACCTGGTGTTTGTCAACATTGAGGGATGTGTACAGCTTGTGGATCATGTTCTTAACGTCAGATAATGCTCTTTCACCTTCAACTGGCACACTATAAACTAAAAATAAAGAAATTCACTTTAAGATAGTGAGAGTAACAACTGTCCACCAAGTCTACTACACGTACACAATGTATTAGATTTAACACAAATTGATGATATTAAATAAATTAATATCTTTTCTATAGATTCTACTCTTCAAGCCTTTTCTGTCAGGATCTCCTGTACTTCCTTACCTTCTTCTGGGACTTGAATCTTGTGTCGAGTGTCATTAATCTCAATTTCAAAGTCTCCCTGGAGCAACAGGTCAAGGCTAGTCGATTGTGAGACTCTCTGTCCATCACGAGAATAAACAGCAACTCTATCAATACCTCCATCCTCCACCTAAGCAATGAGACTACAGTCAAGGAACGCTAAGTGCCCAGGTATAGATACCTTTATATCGTTGAGGAGGCTACCAACGTTTTGAAGGTAAGGACGAATTGTGAATTCGCATACTTCGCGACGTGAGGGTAGAGGGAGAGAGAGAACAGGGAAACCATGTCTCACAAACACTTGAACTATGAGGAAGAGTGTAAAAGAGCAACTAGTATTAATTAGGACATTATAGACATGTATCTATGTATAGGGGTGTGAGCATAGAATTATCATTAATAATTAAATCACCATTGTCTCCATATCCACTAGAATACCGCCTTTTCAGAAATCCCAAACTGCTCCTGTTCATCATTAAGCCGGGGCTACAACCTCTGGCTCTGAAAGGAGGAGAAAAGAAACAAAGGAACCTCTTGCTGGCTGCCATATTGCAGGATTTCCTGAGAATTATCCGTACATCTCCGTTATCTCTTTAGTCATAATAGAAATTAGAAAAAGGAGTGAAAAGGTAAACTGAAGATGAGCAGGAGATTGCTGTATCTACTGCAGATGAGAGGAGCTCGTACAGAGACCTCCTTTAGTGAGTACTATGCTAAACTTCATTCTTTTCCGTGTTACTGTGTAGTATTGGGGACAATCAATACATGAATTAGCAATGCATGATGGGACACCAAACTGTATATATACATGTACATTATCATAATTGTTTTAAATTTCTAAGTTTTAAGATAATTATGTCGTTATAACTGTGTTATTATTCTAGATAGGGTGTTAGGGGTGTGTCCAGTCTCCACCCATCCCTCTATAGCGAGGTATTCTACCGTCAGCAGCGAGGGCTCCTCCACCAGCGAGAGCACGTTCAGTCGTCAGCAGTACAAAGCAAGAATAAGATTGTACAGTGTCGCTTGTGGTGAGCACTAATTAGAATAACAAATACAAATTTAAAATAGTTCGTCTAAAAATGGTCTTGGAGCAGTCTTTGCCTTTTCACATTATTCCTACATGCACTTCCTTGATAAAAAGAATTCCAAAATAGTCCTAGAGAATATGTACATGTGATTTCATTTACAGCATAAGAATTAGTGTAGTTATTATCACTGACTGGTCTGTCTGTTTCTAGGGTCACTATGTGCTTTAATTGGAAGCAGTTATATCTTATATCAGCAGATGAAGGCTAGAGCAGACGAAGGGAAAGAGGAAGAGGAGAAAGAGAGTAAAGATGGAGAGAGATCAAAGGAAGGAGAGGAGGAGGAAGGAGAGAAGAAAGACCGTGTTAGTTTTCACGACAGATCGGTGATGGCTTATGAGGACAGGATCAGAGCTTATAGCACTCCGGATAAAATATTTCGTTATTTTGCGACGCTTAGGATAAAAGGTGAGAACAAACAAATCATATAAGAGGAGCAGGGACATGTACATGTACATTAATTAATACAACTTATATTTGGCAGCTAGCACTTTATTTTGATGATTTACTATAAAATGAGAATACAGGAATTTGAAATTTCTGCATGCTTAAATTTTTGAGCAGTGTATAGTATGTAAACATTTAATGATTGGAGGCTTAGATTTTTTTGTAATTTTTGAACATAATTCTACCAAATTTAAAAGTTACTTTTAATCCTTTTATTTGCAGAGGAGGATGGCTCACGTAATATATATATGACACCACAGGATTTCATCAGAGCTATCACTCCTGGTACGATGCAACCACAGGAATACGGACTGGATCTTTACAGAACAGTAACTATTGAGGTAAGTATTGAGAACTAATAGAAAATGTAAACATTCTATATCCTGTACTGTAGATACATATTGATGTACTCATGTTGTGTAGAAAGTTTGAGCTAATTCCTTTTAATATTTTTTGGATTAAAAAACAGGCCAATTTTTGAAAAATACTTAAGGCTATAGCCCATGGTTTTTTCCGAAAAATAGCTTCGAAATCACCCCAAATTTTTATTACATTTTCTGATACATATTGATGTACTTATGCTGTGTAGAAAGTTTGAGCTGATTCCAACTTAAATTTTTCGAGTTATGGCCATTTTAAGAAAATGCCTAAAATCTGAAAAGTACCCTGTACTATAGCCCATGGTTTTTTCCAAAAAATGGCTCTGAAATCACCCTAAATTTTTATTACATTTTCTGATACATATTGATGTACTTATGCTGTGTAGAAAGTTTGAGCTGATTCCAACTTAAATTTTTCGAGCTATGGCCATTTTAAGAGAATGCCTAAAATCTGAAAAGTACCCTGTACTATAGCCCATGGTTTTTTCTGAAAAATGGCTCCGAAATCACCCCAAATTTTTATTACATTTTCTGATACATGTTGATGTACTTATGCTGTGTAGAAAGTCTGAGCTGATTCTGACTTCAATTTTTTGAGTTATGAGCATTTTAAAATGAGATTATTATTGCCTCTAATTCTCTAGTATTTTGTTTAGTATTTTGTTTTTCCTTTCTCTCCTCCTCTCTATTCAAGACAATAGAGAAAGAGGGTCTAGGTCGTATGGAGGATAGTAACAGTGTCTTTAACAAGTTAGGTCAACATGGCCTTATCTCTTTCTCTGATTTCCTGTTTCTATTAACAATATTAGCCAGTGAGTCACATACACACATAGTTATACATGCATACATATGATATGATCTCTTTCTCCCTATCTCCCTCCTTCTCTCTCTCTCTCCTTCCCTCTCTTTTTCTTTCTTGTTTTAGCTCCAATGAAACACTTTGAGCTAGCCTTTAAGATGTTTGATCTCAATGGCGATGGAGAAGTTGAGTTTGATGAGTTTGAAACAGTTCAGTCAGTCCTCCTCAGCTCCACAGCAATGGGAGTAAGACACAGGGACCATGTCATCAATGGTACGTATGCTAAGTAGTCTTTTCACTGAAGGAAAATATAACCCACATACTAGTTGGCTCTATCCTCCCAAAAATTGAAGATTGACCTGATGAAAGTGACCTAGCTGTAATAGAATACTATGAATTGAATTTCAATTAATTTTAATTCATTATTCAATTTTTTAATTGATTGTTGTCCATATTAGGTAATGTTGCTTCGTCTGTGGGTGGAGCATTAGCAGTCCATTTCTTTGGTAAGAAACTCGACCAGAAACTGACAATAGAAAAGTTTCAGGAATTCCATACTCTTCTCAACACTGAGATACTCCTGATGGAAGTAAGAACATGATCATGTGCATGTACTAGGAATTAATTATCATACAAGTACATGTACATGATCTACATGATCATACATCTACATGTTCATGTATATCATGTATTCATCCCATGGAGACATTGTATGATATGGTATACATACATTGATATGACCCTTACCATGTACAAGTTCTAGGAATTAATGATCATACCATGTATGTGCATGTACATGTACACAATGAGTAATTAAGAAACATGTCTGCATCTTTACATGTAGACATGTGTACATGTCTTTTGTACATGTTTGTTCATATTTTATCAAATAATATTTTATCAATAATATTAATCATTAATATTATATTAATAATATTAATCATTTCTCAATTGTATGTACATGTACTGTAGTATCTCCGTTATGATCTTGTTGATGGGATGATTAGTGAGAGAGACTTTGCTCACATGATCCTCCGTCATGCCTCACTCAGTGAACAAAAGAAGAAGCAAATGGTCAAGAGAGTTAAGAAGAAATTTGGACCCAAACCTAATCCGGTAAGAAAAGTTGTACTATTAAATTAATCAATAACATTTCAATTAATAGTATTTTATTTAATACAGCGTGCATTTTCTGATAATA